GTAACAACATTCCAAAAAATAACTGAGGAGCTCCGCTTTTAGGCTTGGCTAAATCTATATATTATGTACGTTAATAACTTAGATATCCTCGTCCCAGAGGTTTTCTTTCTTTCGTCTTTTTGCTACATAAGCGAAAGAACCATCACAGCGGTCAACAAGCAAGCACTTAGGCCATGAGTCGAAGGGAAAAAGCGCGGTCAGTAACTTACAGTACAAACCTCGAACAGGCCGTTAGTATGTAAGAGGGCCGGGTGAGAGGTTTTTTCTTTTATCACAGTTAACTGAGATGAACAACGCGATCCAGACCACAAGCTGTAGCGGTGAGTAAACTGGGAAGTTGTCAAATAGAGGTGTGTGTACACCAGTTAAAATTTCAATTCGAATTAGAGCTAGAATTTCAAGATACAGTCAAATTTTTGTTCAACTTCTGTTTTAAGTTTCACAAATTCTGTAGCTTTCGATGGCGTTTTAGTTTAATTTTCCCTTGAATATAATACGTACTGTTTTGCCTATGAAACCAAGCTAGTGTTATTCCCAGTGCAAACTCTTATCAAGCTAACTGGGTTAACTTGACCTGAACTCGATACATGCAGTCGAACTCGAACACACAAAACCTGGACAATTCCATGAAATGTTACAGGTTCTCTCCGTTGTTCTATTTAATCTTCTTAAATAAAAGGTATCGAAACTACATTTGATGAACAAAATGACCTAAAAAACAGGCATATGATACGAATCCCCGTTGGGTTGCTTCATTGACATGAAAATATCAAAGAAGACATCCCCACAGCGTTGGAGGTTTCCCTTCGCTTTGAAACGAGGCGGCGACACAAACAAGTCCTCCACAAAAACTTCCACGCAATGCGCGAGTAACATTGGGTACCACGTATAAAAATAAGTTAAGAGGGATTGCCTCGGGTATAAGGCTTTTATGGGGGATTCAATCTTCTCTTGCCGGAAGTCACGATATATAACAACTTAAAAAAACGCAAATACACATGTACGGATCGTCAACCAGTTCACCCATTCATTCAGGGAAGAAATTTCGTTCGACTGTGAATGCTTCTTTTTGAGCATATTAACTAACCCTGTAAACAACCCATTGATTCATTTATACATTTATTTAAAATCGAATTAAAAATCAACATATGTATTTTTATGTAGAAATCGACCTATTGGTCGCCGGAATTGAATCCGCTTTTTACCTCGAAGATTGCCTAGTTCCAACTGGAACACATTTAGAAATATTATATTTTCACAATTTCTTGTTGAAAATTGACGGCTTTTCATGAAGCATTTTTTCCCCGAATTTCTTTGACAAAACTCCTGCCTTCATTCGTTCGGCTTGTGCTGTGTCATTCGCCTCGACGACTCCAATTCGACGTCGCATCTCAACCCTTTTTTCGTCTTCTGTATTGGGGACATTATCCACTGCACGGCTTGAGTGTTGTTCGTTTTCTTTAGCTCTTCCCTCGCTGTTGTTTGTGGTATCTATATCTTCAGGAATCTGAATCTGAATGTTCTCAGGACCTAAAACATGCTCCGTTTTCGAAGGACTTGTTCTTGACACACCGCCACCTTCCGTCATCAAATCTTCACTTATGTCCATGTTAAGACTCGGAGTTGACTCAGCCATTGCACTCGAGTACAGATGTTTGAATTTGACAGAACAAAATTTACGTCTCTTTGAAAATGCGGACCGTTGTATTGGTATGTCTTTGAGGCCGAGTCCTTTTATACGTTTAGCTTGTTATTGTTATTGAAACAGGAAATACGTATCCAACCAATCAGTGGCAGCGGCAAATTTAGATCATAAAGAGCATGAGAGATTCCCCATCATCACGGACACACTTTTTCGACCGTAGCACACGAAAGCAAAAAGTTATTTACGTCAGTCCCTCTTCTTTCTTATTTGGTTACAATAGACAAACATTGCCTCGATCGATTGCAGTGAAGCAAGTCCTATATTCGAAAAGATGGGAAGTCTCCCATTCTCTTTCTTGCTCTTTATGTTCTAACGCTCGTTGGGCTTCC